CATATACCCGCACAACAGAAAATAAACGTCTACTTAGTGATAATTAATAAATTTGATAAATTAATTCATAAATTTATGACCAGAGTATTGGTGAATGTTCGTTCAACTGCGAGATCTCGTGTATTGCGTGAATACGCGGACCGAACGTCTGTCGCAAAATACGAACGATTTTATTTTGAACTCGAATTTCTTTTCTCATAGCTCAAAGTTGGAAGGCTGATCTTCGACAGAGGAATATTGCTTCCGAATATCCTTACTTAATCGAAATTGCCTATCATCAAATGTGTACAGCAAATTATTAAGCATGGAAATGTCCCCCAAAATACTTTCGCGTTTGTCGAATCCCACGCGATGTTTGACGTCACTACGACGCTATGGCCTTTGTTTTTTGCTGTTTCTATACGATATCACGCATAACGCGAGATCTCGCAGTGAACGGAAAATGGTCTATTGTGATGTCATGTCATAAAGTTGAAAATGTTTGATGAGGTCGACTCGAGATATCTTGATTATATTTTTTTCGGGAAAGTTTCATTTCTATGTTTGCTTCTGTCATGTTAGGAGATTGGTATCCACGCGCTCGTATTATGATTCGTATCTGAAAAAAAAAATAAAAATAATTGTGCGGCCTCTTTTTAAAGCGGGGGAGTCGTCACCCGCGCATGCGTCAGATGACCATAGCGTGTCATTGTTTAGAAACAAGCGTCTACCCATGAGCATTTGCGAATAATGTTCTGGGATTAACTCTCGCCTCAATGGGTTGTAGACTAGACAAATCAACAGAAAATGACATACATCCTCAACAAAATTAGCACGACATACTTTACAGACTCTTTCCATTGAAGGCAAACCTTCGCGCCGACCTTCTTCAATTCTAAAGGGTGTATGTATGTATTATGTAGTAATGAGAATATACGTTCATATAAACATGTTTGAACAGCAGAGAGATCATAGCATAGCGGTTTAGCACTGTGTTGGAACCAATCACCATATTTCGCGTTTAACGTCAATGTAACAACGTAAACTTATTTGAAATTTAAAACAGATTACATGTCGCCTACTCTGAGATAAAATAAATAAATAAATAAATAAATAAATAAATAAATAAATAAATAAATAAATAAATAAATAAATAAATAAATAAATAAATAAATAAATAAATAAATAAATAAATAAATAGTTTAGAACGCCAATGCACTCACAACACCCCTCGCCTATAGGTCGGTGTTGTGCCGCCCCGTTACGTCGGTGTTGTGCCGCCCGTTACGTCGGTGTTGTGCCGCCCATTTACGCCGGTGTTGTCATGTTCAAATAATCCGACAATGAAACTCTCCTCCCTGGCGTTATTTATAATTTCAAAACAAATTCTGTTATCGAGTGGCAAAGCTGCACTACTGATACTGTTCATCACATTGGATTCAGATTGAAAGTGACCGTAAATGCAAAGTAGACGGAAATGCCCGCTTGTGTTTACTTTATGGGGAAGCTTCTTTCATGGGGAATTTGTCGTCGCGTCTCTATCACGTCTGCTTGAGGTACAGGATCGGAAAAGTCACTTAAACTTTACAGTCAAGTAGACACACACAACGAAGTACGTATCAATAGCTAGTCTTTAGCCACATCGAGAACGCCTCAAGGCAACGCCTCGTTCAAGACTCTGCCTAGAACTGACTTGTCCGGAACTCTGCCCAGGACTGACCAAGACTCTCTCGCCTCGTGGAGCTCTCTCTGTGACCAAGGACTTAGACCGTTTATTACGTATCAAAACTTAACCAATTACAAAGAAATTTAAAGACTCTAGGGTGTAACTTTCACACATTGAACTTGCACATAGCCAATCACACTAAGTACTGGACACGTCATATTTACTGATTAATTGTCCGCTATATTAATAAACTACGCATACCAAACGTCAGAAATAGTAGTCCGGATGGCGACGGTTATATCGTAATTAGTTCCAAATCACTGAGTCAAGTTCCGTCCAGGACCTCGCATGAGCCTAAATGATGCCAGATATAACACAGCCATTCACTAGTAACCAGCTAACCAAGTCAGTCAACAGATACGCAAAAACTAATTTATTACACTTCCGTAGAAAATGAATACCATTACGTTTTTCTTCCGAGTCGATACCTGGCGAAAACAACTTTCTCTAACTTTCTATAATAATCTACCCTCTTGGGAGAAATTATTGTTTTTTATGAACACTAAAGATTTTGATATTATCATATGATTACTAGTTTTCACTTCCCATGCTTTAAAACTGCGTAAAAATATTGGAACAGTAAATTCGAGTCCAGTGACTGAAAAACAGGAAAAACCTGAAAAAAGGGTTATTCTAACCCAGGGAAGTACAATAACTCACCGACACACAGTAGGAATATTGAATTCAACTTCACAAGGGAATGAATATTGTCATTCAAAAAACTGCCGTCCGGTTTTTCTTTTCAAGTTGACTGCTATGAGGTCCGTCTCCGACTTGGCTTCATCTGTGCATCCAGGCCCTAGCTATTTACTTCCTTTAAAATCCAGCCAGGACTGTTAGACAGTTAGACAGAAAAACAGTGAGTCGGTCGGCTAGCCTTAGCCATCACACATTAGTTAAACCCCGAGTTAACAATGATCTGGCATCAAAGGTGCATCAGTGAGGTATATTTTTTTCAACTACCGTAAGTATTGTATACTACATGCAGTACCTCTTCCGTGCGATGAATGCGACTTCTATCCTGCCGTAGGCGGCGTCCTGTATAGATGTCCACGGCATGCTCGTTAGCAGCTCGGGTTTCGATTTAGAAAGTGGGATATCTGATTCAGTTGGATAAAAGACTAAGAAATCGGTGATTTCCCGTTCATTGCAAGATATCGCGTAACACGTGAAAGACGGGTATCGAACGTTTTCCGCAAAAAGCGAATAATTTAATATTGGGCTTTAATTTCTATTTTTTATAGTTCAATTTTGGAATGTCCAACTTCAGGTTTCAGAGAGAGATATTTCGTTGAGATATAATTACTTCATTAAAAATATATGTCATCGAATGTATATAGCACATTTAAGCCGCGTGAATACTTTAAAAAATCTTTCGCGTTTGTCGACTCCCATGCGATGTTTTGTCGCCACAACGAGGCTCATTCTCTTTCCCAGAGATCCTTGCGACCAGAAAACCGAAAGTATGTTTCTAGAAATAGAACTCTCACTGGTAAATTGTACGACGCACACTCCAAACACTGGCGGCGTCATCACTTCGTTTCTCTCAACTGTACTGAGGACTATTTTATCCATTTCCATATATTATGCTCAATTATGAAAAGAACTTTTTTTGTCTCATTTGCATATACCAACTAAACTACAGACAGGACTATTTTATCTAATTTGCATATATCAGACTCAACTGCAAACAGGACTATTTTATCTAATTTGCATATATCGGACTCAACTGTAAACAGGACTATTTTATCTAATTTGCATATATCGGAATCAACAGTAGACAGGACTATTTTATCTTATTTGCATATATCGGACTCAACTGTAAACAGGACTATAGTATTTTATCTAATTTGCATATATCAGACTCAACTGTGAACAGGACTATTTTATCTAATTTGCATATATCAGACTCAACTGTAAACAGGACTATTTTATCTTATTTGCATATATCGGACTCAACTGTAAACTGGACTATTTTATCTTATTTGCATATATCGGACTATTTGACTATTTTATCTTATTTGCATATATTGGACTCAACTGTAAACAGGACTATTTTATCTTATTTGCATATATTGGACTATTTGACTATTTTATCTTATTTGCATATATTGGACTCAACTGTAAACTGGACTATTTTATCTTATTTGCATATATCGGACTATTTGACTATTTTATCTTATTTGCATATATCAGACTCAACTGTAAACAGGAATATTTTATCTTATTTGCATATATCGGACTCAACTGTAAACAGGACTATTTTATCTTATTTGCATATATCGGACTATTTGACTATTTTATCTTATTTGCATATATCGGACTCAACTGTAAACTGGACTATTTTATCTTATTTGCATATATCGGACTATTTGACTATTTTATCTTATTTGCATATATCGGACTCAACTGTAAACAGGACTATTTTATCTAATTTGCATATATCGGACTCAACTGTAAATAGGACTATTTTATCTAATTTGCATATATCAGACTCTGGAAACAATGTTTATTTTGTAATTCAAAGTTAAAGTCAGTATCATAACTATGTTATATTACAGATATAATAATAAATACATGTATATTTTCTGTTAATGTGTGAGAATTTAAAAAAAAGTACAAAAATATCTAAAAAAAAAATAGTAATAAATTACTAAATTCAAGTACAAATTAAGTACTATTTTTTTAAAAACATTTAAACACCATTGTAAACTTTTGGCAATGTTTACAAAATGATTTTGTAGTCTGCTCCTCCCCGTTAATTTGACCCCAAAATGATGAAATTTTATTGAAAATTTGACAAAATGAGAAAATATTTGCACTGAATTTTAGGTGGGATAAACATTTTGTGTATAAATTACACATACTCGTTTTACAATACATTTTAATGTAGCACAAGATTACATAGTAGTATAAAATACCATTTCAGAATTATAATTTTTTTTCTATAAATTTATATTTTTAGCATAATTTTATTTTGTTAATAAATATTATTAACCATTAATATAAAATGATGTCAAAGCCATATTATTTGCTGGTAATATAATTCATTTTTTAAAAACTACTTTTATTTAGAAAAATTATACTGTATTCGTCTGACTCTGCACTCGTGCTTAACTACGCACCCAGCCCTGTAAAAAGCACAATTTTGTGAACCGAATACCCTGGGACACCGAGTCGGACGAGCACAGTAGTAATACAGAAGATGGAACAGGTTTCCCAAAACTTTGATAGAAATGAAGGAAATTACGCAAACTTAAATAAATAAATAAATAAAACAAATGAATGAAGTGACAGAACTGGTATTAAAGTAATTGGTGGAATGGTTAACACATGTTTGACAGCAATTTTCTGAAATTTTGTTAAAATATCCCTTGTGCCCTCTAAGTTGCGCCCTCTAAGTTGATATGCAATTAGCTGTGCTGATTCACTGTTGGCACAAACAAAAAACAGTACGTTAACAGAGAGATCTTGAAAAAAAAACATCTTAATATAGTGATGGAATTTGGTAAAATGAAATTTACATAATACACACGATGCGAAAAAACGAAATAAAGCAGGTGCAACAAAGTCACTTATACAGTCACATAGATTTTTTTTTTCTTGAAGACAACCCTCCCAAGCAGTCAACAAGCCGACTCGATTTTGAGGGATACCATTTTGGCTACAGACCTTACAGTCAAACCTGTGTTAGTGACTACACATATATATATACCACCTGTCTATAGTGACCACTTTTAGGCAGTCTCAAGGTATGAGCAACCTGTGTATAAAGACCACCTGCCTATAGTGACCACTTTTAGGCAGTCTCAATGTATGAGCAACCTATGTATAAAGACAACCTGCCTATAGTGACCACTTTTAGGCAGTCTCAATGTATGAGCAACCTGTGTATAAAGACAACCTGCCGAAAGTGACCATTTTTAGGCAGTCTCAATGTATGAGCAACCTGTGTATAAAGACAACCTGCCGAAAGTGACCATTTTTAGGCAGTCTCAATGTATGAGCAACCTGTGTATAAAGACAACCTGCCTATAGTGACCACTTTTAGGCAGTCTCAATGTATGAGTAACCTGTGTATAAAGACAACCTGCCTATAGTGACCACTTTTAGGCAGTCTCAATGTATGAGCAACTTGTGTATAAAGACCACCTGTCTATAGTGACCACTTTTAGGCAGTCTCAATGTATGAGCAACCTGTGTATAAAGACCACCTGTCTATAGTGACCACTTTTAGGCAGTCTCAATGTATGAGTAACCTGTGTATAAAGACAACCTGCCTATAGTGACCACTTTTAGGCAGTCTCAATGTATGAGCAACTTGTGTATAAAGACCACCTGTCTATAGTGACCACTTTTAGGCAGTCTCAATGGTATGAGCAACCTGTGTATAAAGACCACCTGCCGAAAGTGACCACTTTTAGGCAGTCTCAATGGTATGATCAACCTTGTATAAAGACCACCTGCCGAAAGTGACCACTTTTAGCAGTCTCAAGGTATGATCAACCTGTGTATAAGACCACCTGTCTATAGTGACCACTTTTAGCAGTCTCAAGGTATGAGCAGCCTGTGTATAAAGACCACCTGCCTATAGTGACCACTTTTAGCAGTCTCAATGTATGAGCAACCTGTGTATAAAGACCACCTGCCTACAGTGACCACTTT